CAGCATCTTTCAGGTCACAAAAACTAATGGACTGGTAGAACCTCCTGCTGCAGGACATATTCTGGATTTAAAAAAAACAACCACAAAAAACTTCAGCGAAGTTTTCAGCGGAGGTCCATTAACTGTGAAGTTTCTACATTTGGCTTGGGACATCCCTCAGCCTAAAATGCTCAGAAGGAGTATTTTGGGTGCATATTGCTGTATTTTTACCCTTTTCCTCTGCTTTTCCCTTGGCATCTGCTGTTGGCCATTGACAGAGGCAGCTGTTTGCTCCCTGAATCTGTGACTTAGACCCAGCAAAGCCTTTCCAGGTGCCTAAAAATCCAAGGTTGTCTTCTCCCTCCTCAGTGGAGGTCTTAAAAATAGACAGCTGGCAACTTCTCCTCCAAAGGAATGGGACTGTCCGGGCTGTGTGACTGTAAGGAGTCTTTTTTAGGTTGGGGATGTATCTGAGTATGTTTTCAAGAGTGATGAGAGAGGAGATGCTGCATTCCTCCAGAATTAATCACTTTAATAAAGTTAAAATCTGAGCCAAAGCTGATGGAAGTCACTGGATTTGTCAGTCACTGAACAGGGCTGAATCCCAGTTTTTCAGTCCCCAAAGAGGGGTGTGGGCAGATTGTGTCAGGCTGTTGGCTTGGGAGGAGACAGATTGTCACCTCTGGGTGAAAAATGGCAGGTTTTAATTATTTTCAAGTTATTAATTTTTTCAGTAATACCAAGGAGAAGCAAAATCCAAACCCTCCTCCTAAGTCAGAACAAAGCAATTAGAGTTCCATAGGAAAATAGGTGATGTATCCCTGTTGGGGATCTGAATAAAACTTTTATGAGCCAGGTGACCTCAAGGATTACCTGTGATTTGTGCTCTTTTTGGGAATAGTTCTATGGATGAACAACAAGCTGGTTCTTCATAAATTTGGCCCAGAATATCTGCATTTTTGTTTTCTCAAGCATGCAAATTCGTATATTGTGACATTAAATATAGCTTGGGATGATAGGAATACTCTGCTTCCTTGGCACTGCAAAGTTCCATCAAAGAAGGGCAGGAAATTGGGTTCCCTGACCCTTTTTTCCTCCCTGGAATAACGCCTAGAAGAACAGGATTAATTTGTGTCAGGACAAGTTTCTGCTTCTGCTAATTATATTTTTTTCCCTTTAATTTTTTCCTCTTTCCCCTTTATTAGGTTTTTTCCCCCTTTCTCTCCCTCTCCCACTGCTTTCTGCTTCTTCCATTTTCTCCTTCCCCTGATGCTTCCCTAAAGGCACAAAACAAAAATGTTTCCAGCTTACATGTTTTGGATATAAGGTTTGAAAGGACAACAGAGACAGGCTCCATGACAAAGAGCATATGGATAAAACCCACGGAGGGTGGAAATAAACAACTCAGGAAGATAAACTCTTGCATATCAAGGGAATCTTGATCTCCACTTGTTTGATACTTCAGCTTCTTATCTTGTCCTCTTATGATTTCCTCTGCTTCCACTCACTGGAACCAAAAAGCCCATGGAAGGAGCTCTGATTTACAGTCATAAAGGTTGGAAAAGACCTCAAAGATCAAGTCCAAGCTTTGATGGACCTTTAGATTTAGGGCTAAAGTAAGCTGAAGTCATAGTAAGAAGCAGATTTTATTGTCTACACTGAAATTTATGCTATTCCAGGTGCCTGGTGATCCTTATTATTTGGACTGAGACAGGTTTAATAACACACAGAGTTGTCTTTCATCTTCACACAGTTGCTTTAACTGTTGGGGTCAGTTTTAGGACCAGTCCAACCCTCTGTGCCATCAGAAGCCTGAGGAAGCTTCATTTTCCCAGCTGCCAGTAAGTGTGTGTTGTAAGGAAAAGTTTTGAGGGAATTTTAAGCTTTGTGCTTCAGGTTGGAGACAGGTCTTAGATCATTAATTTCCACAGGGGAATTTTTTTATGTGATTCACAGTGAAGGTTTTGTTCCCTCTTCTGAAATGCTTTGTATGGCTTGGGGTGGACACCACATGAGACTAATCCAAGGTTTCACTGTTATTTTAGAGTATCATGGGGATGAACCACTTCCATGTGTCCAGTGCAGGTCTGGTAAAGCATCTTCTAAGCCCCAGTATCCTAATTGTCTTCAGGGTTTGCCTAAATTTTTCATGAGAGGTGGATGTGGTCTCTCAGGATCCTTTGGAGCTGGAGGTGGCTGCTATCTCCTGGGAAGATGGACAAGGGAACTGCCCTCTCCCTTTCTTTTCTTCATGCTTCCTTGTGTCACCCCTGGGAGCAGAAAGGAGACCTGCTACCCAGGGAAGAGGAAAGCAGGGTCAGGTGACTGACTTTAGGATTGTCTGGAGGGAAACTGGAAAGGCAGGGATACGCTGATGGCAATTAATTGTTTCCATCACACAGGTTTCAGAGAGCACCTGCAAAATAGATGGGCTGAAGCTGAATCCAGTGCTGGCTATTTTCAAGATAATAAAGCCCTTGGCTATCTCATGGGTTTATATGAAGGGTAAACACTACACTGAGCTATTTGACAGCAGGACCTGGGTGTTGTTATCACCTCTTGTCCTCCCTCCCCTTTAAATTTCCATTTTTATTTAAAGCTATTTTCTCTCCTCCCAGTAGATAAAAAACCTGGAGTTATCTCCAAGGTTATCACTGGCTGTCTCTTTCCAAGGTCTGTAACACAGGTTATTGGGGGAAAGTCAAGCAGCAGGGAGAATGTGAAGGAAGCTCAGAGCAGGCAACAAACAGATCTGTGTGAGAGGAGAGTTATGAGGCCTCCAGAAACCATGAGATGGAGCCTTGACTTTGGAGTTACAGACAGGAACAAATAAAGAAGGCTCCCTCTTGAATCAAATCTTTTTTGCTCCTTCAGAAAAAACCAAGCCATATCAGCCTTAGGAGAAAGGGACAGTGCAGGCTGTGGTAAATACTCAAGATGTGAGGAGGCCACGGGGAGAAGGAAGAGCTGCAGATAACTTCCTTCCTATCAGCACTTGATGAAAATTCATTACTGATGTCTCTGCTTGAGTCTGGACTTGGAGGGGTAGAGTCTGCCCTATCACAGCTCCCTCCTGGCTGGGTTACATGGCAGGTGAATAATCTCTTTCAAACAGTTGCTTTTATTCGCGGGGATTGAAGCTTCCTTTTGAAACATCAAATCCCACGCTGGAATTACGGGGGGTGTACACAGGAGAAATCAGCCTTTCTGTCGCTGCTGAATTGTTCAGAACAGGGGGGGAAAAAAAGCTCCCAGGAGCAGTTCAACTTTTGTGGAGGTTTGATAAAACCATCCCTGCTTCTTGTTGGTTTTTATTTTCTTTTAATGCTCTTCAGCTGCATCTGTAATAAAGGGAAAGGATTTCCACGGGCTGCTGGTGGGTTCTGCTGAGGGTGGCTTTGTGCTCCGTGCCATTCCCCCTCTCCTCTGATGTTCCATATGCTTTTCCTTTCTTTTATTTTAATTTTTTTTTCCTCCAAAAATCATAAACATGATGATTTTTCATGAGCACGGAAAAGCCAATAACTCAGAAGCACTTCCAAAGCCCCAGATCTTGTTTGAGCCCCTTATTTGCACAAACAAGGGACAGTCAGCAACCGGCCACGGAGGAGAGATTTGATTGATTCCATTGCAGGGAGTTGTGGTGGGTTTGGGGTTTATTTTTTTTTTATTTTATTTTGGTTTCTTTCTGTTTGTTTTTAAAGTGGAATTACTTCTTCCATTCTCCCAGAACTGTTACATTAAACTCGCCTTCCACAGGTGTAACTGTTTTCCGATTCAGTTGATGATCTCTCATCTTTAAGGGAAATTATTGTCCTCCACCGTGGTATAAATTGCATGTCAGAGCCTTTTTAGGCAGTTTCAGGCTGGTTAGTTCAGAGACAGCACTGCAAAAGGAAGGCAAATTGGGTTTTATTGGGGGACAACTTTCTTTCTTCCCCCAGTTGGCCGTGGTGTATCATAATGTAATTTCCTCTGCAGAGTCGAGTTTACCTGCTTTGACAGGCCCAGGCAAATGTAATATCCCACCAGGATCCAAGGCAGCTTTCCTGTGTTATTCACTCTTATTTACTTATTTATTCTATTTTGAAGTGAAGGTGGCTCTGACTTAATACAAAACCCACACTGAGCTCCCTGTGCTGTGTGATTGTGGAGGATTTATTCCTGTTGGGTAGAGAAAGGAGCACCAGTCCATGGCAACATCCAAGACTTTCATGTGTTGCAGTTTGTATATTCAGAAATTATTCCCTCCTTTCACTCTTTTCAGTAATTTTTCCTTTGTGTGGGACTGGAATAACCCTGGGAAGAGGGTTTACTCTGGCTCTGACTGTGCTCCCACCTTGCACTTGGAGACAAACCTTGCTCCTGGGAGCAGAGGAGATGACATGAGGGTTTTGTGAGGTCCCAGACCTCCACCTGGATAACACAGAGCTGAGATCCCAAGCTAGGACTTTTCCACTGGGAGGTGGGAAGGGCAGAGAATAGAAAGTCACAGAGCTGCACTTGTCCATAGCTTGCCAGTGGAGATTCAGGGCTGGGAGAACAGAAAAGGGGCACATGTTTGTCATGAATGATTCATAGATTCAGATGGAAAACATTCCTCTGCCTGTTTTCTCCAGCTAGTTTCCTTCAAGGGGAAAACAGGGCCAGTCCTAAAACTAATCTGCCACATCCTCAGGTATCCTGGTCTCTTTTTGCCCAAGCTGGCTCCAGTTTAGGGGGTTCATAACCTGGTTTTGTGTCTTATTTTTACATTTCCCAAAGCTGACAACACAAGTGTCCATGAAGACTTGAAAAGTCCATCAATTCTGGAGTAGTACTGAAAAGTGGATATGGGCAGATATCAGGGTTCAGATTTCAACCCCTGGACACAAACCTGAACAAAGCCTGAAAATTAAATATTTTGGGATGATAAGGAGCTTACAACTTGTAGGTAACTGTATCTTTTAAATAATAATTTATGCCTGTGCTTCCACTGCTGTATTTTTTACCCTTTTTGTTGTTGTTTCTCCCCCTCTCAGCTGCAATATCTTACTGGGGGTGGAATGATACCTGAATTCAAAGGCAAACAGATAACTGGAGATGGAATATTACCCAGCCTCATGTGGCTGAATGAATCCGGGAATTCATCTGTGTGGCTGCAGGACACATAATATTTCCTCTGGGCATCTAAATCTCCACTTCTTACCATCTGACAAAAATCGAGCCAGGACCTTTAGTCTCCACCTTGGAGACCAGAAGGTTTCCAATAAGGCCCATGGTGTAGGGAAATATGAGGAATGCTGGATCTTCCAGAGCAGGGTGTGGGATCTATGTGACAACACATTGGACAAGCTGTGATGATTTCAGGTTTTTATGTGTGCCATTGGCAGCAAATTGTTCTGAAACCTTGGTCAAGTCCCTTGATTTGATGTTTGGGTTCATCTTTTCAGGAAATGAGGCAGTTCTGTAACATGCATGTCACAAAGAGGGAATGTTGAGCTCTTCAGGGTGGAATAAGAAGTCTATACTGAAGGCATGGTTTTTTGACACTGACTAACAATATTTTGGGGATTTTTTGCTTGTTTTGGACTGGATTGTTTTTTTTTTCTCTTATGAATGTTCTAGTCTAACCTTGCTGATGCAATCTAACCCAGTAACCTAAAACCTTGTACCCGTGCATGTACCCTGTGCAATGCTGGAATCATGATGCATGAACATTAATCCCCAGCTGGTGGGCAGCATGGATTAGCACGCTGGGGGACATTTATTTCCTTCTCCTGCTTGCCTTGTGCATGGAACTGTAGAAAACCCCCACACCACTCAGGATTTTGTAACATATTTTCCTCTATTCCCAGAAGTTCCTGCTTAGATGGAGGTTTTCTCAGTCAGGCACCACTTCCAACAGTGTGCAGTGCCTGGCACAACGGGACCCTGCTCTTGGTTGTGACCTCTAAATGTTGCCATAATAATAATAATAGTATGTGGCTTTTGGCACGTCCCCTATTAATCACAGCAGCTGTCAGGCAAAGCATTAGATGGGAATAGCTCCCTGCAAGAAAAAACAAATACAACAACACCCTGTGGCTTGTGGAGCATGAATCCACACTCTGGAGGGTGCCAGAGAAGGAAGGAAGGGCTAAGCTGTGACATTTCACTCAAATTTGTTAACCTTGGCTGGTGTTCAGATGCTCAGCCGAGGAGGCTGCGAGGGGGTCTCTGGAGACATCAAGCTTTGTTAAATATTTACAGTGAGCAGAAGCTGAAGTGAAGGTGCACAGAGGCACCAGGGACACAGTTTGCCATGGGGAAGAGGAATTCCTGGGGAGAGGCTGGGATGGTTTTATGTGCTGCTACCGTGTTTAATGCCTGCAGTGGATTTTTCTTCCCCAAATCTGCCTTTGGAAGCCGTGCAGACCTTGAGCATTCTGGATGCCCTGAGGCAGGAGCTTCATGGTTTGACAGCAAAGAATTTGCCCATCATTTTAGGGCAAATCAGGTCCACTGGGTGATCCCTGTTGGAAAAAGCAGAGAGCTCTGTCAGGTATTTCATCCCAAACCCACGAAATTCAGGCTGTGGTTGGTCCAACGTGACAGACCACTTTTTTATGTGCTCTGTCGTAGACTCTTGTGTTCCAAATTCACTCTCCAGAGGCAGTCCCTGAAAATTGCTCCGTGTTTATGCCTGAAAAAATTCCCGGGTGCTAAACTGGTCCGTCTGCAGAAAGCAAACTGGTCCATTGGAACATCTGCAGAGAGCAAACCCAAACAAAATGAGATTACTGTCAATTTGTGTTTATTTGAATTACTGGATAAGTCCTAGTCATGGATCAGGGCTAAACATGTACAAATAATTGATTTTAGGTTCAGTGGCTCAAAGCAAAAACACGTGGAAAATGTTTTGGTTGACCTAAAACACTTTTTTCCCCCAGTTTTCTGTTAAAATAAAGGCATTTAAGGAAGCAGCAAGAGAATGCACAGCTTTAACACAGGGCCCTCTTCAATATCTGAAGCTCAATGAAATATTTTCTTCCTCCCTTTGATATTTTCTAATTTTCGTCATTTAAAAAAATCGATTGAAAATACCTTCTGCAATAAAACATCAACAACTTTAAGACTGAAATTTTAGAAAGAAACTTCTCAAACTTATCAAAAATGTTGAGAAGTATTTTGCTGTGGGTAATGCTTGCCTTGTGTTGATTGATGACAAGTCAACATCTCTGTCCAATTTTAATCCAGACCCCAAAGTGACAGATGCTGTATAAAGAGTGAGCATGAGGATTTTTTAACAGAGATTTGTGACACTTTCTGCTTGAGGAATTTTTTGCAGAGCTGCTCCAGATCCGAGGCCAAGGGCACTGGGGAATTTTGATCACTTGGGTTTGTACTGTTTAAACTTGCCCTGAGAAACCCTGGGGGAATGGAGGTGAACTTGAGCTGGAAGGTGATTTAAGCCATCTAAACCAGATCTATTGTTCTGGAGTTGAACCAGAGCTGGATTTCCACTTTTAATTCTCGGACTCCTGGGAAATAACATCATCACAAACCACATGAAAGCCACCATGAGGTATCACCGTGTGATTCGGCACCTTGCAGGCTCCAGGTAGGAGAGAGCAAGCTGGGTTTGAATTAGGCCAGTGGAAATAACCAAAAACAAGATCTCCAGTGTCCACTGGTGAAGATTGAACTGTTCACCCCCTCCATGACACACTCACCATGTGGTACCACCACAGCAGCTTCCTCCGGACCTTTCCCACCCCTCCTTCCTCCACTGTGTGTGTTGAGCCTGAAGGCACCTCGTGGCTTTTGGGGCAGCTTTGCAAGCCACCACAGCCTAAACTTGCTGACAGCAGGTCGAAGAGGCTGGGAAGCTGCTTGGATGGAGAGTTTCCAGAAGGAGAAATCAGATTAAGGATGGTTGCACCCACAGCACTTCCCTGCACCCCATCCGTGGCACAGGGTAGGGATTACATGCAGCTACTGAAACCCCATGGAAAAAAATAACCACCATCATTTCCCAAAGGTGTTCCCTGCCCCTGGGAGCGTGTGGCCCCACCCATCCCAGTGCAGATCCATGGGAGGGAAGTGCAGACCCCAGCAGAGTTTATTGGTAAATGCTACCACTGATTAAAACAGGCTTGAGCTGCTGGAGGAACAAGAGGTTGCCATGGAAACAGTCTCTTGATGTGTCCAGGTTTTGAAACCATTTTTCCCTCTCCCGCCCTCAAAGCTTCTTTTTCTGCTGTTGTTTTGTTGGAGATTTGCTCTCCTGGGGTGAGGTGGTGCAGATGGGCTCCTGGGACCAGGAAGGCACTGAGAGAAGCTGCTCATCTCAGAGAGGGTTAGACTGGGAGACCCTCTCAGGTGGAGCAAAGCTTGTAGGGATCCTGGCAAAATGGGGTCTGATGGACCCTGGAGGGTCACAATGTTGGCAGGGTGCTGGTCACCAGAGGGAGTGATGGAAAATACCCCAACCAAACCCTTCCCCCAAAGCCATCCCTCTGGGATGCTCTTGGCATCTTAGCTCTTCACCAGGGGAGTCCTTCCCTGGGGTGTTCATCTAAGCTAATGACACCTCTCCATCACCTCACTGCTCTTGAGAATGGTGGCAATGATGGGAAGGCATCTTGTGAACAATGGGAAATCAAGCCAGTGCCACAAGGAGCACTTCTGAGACAAAAGAGAACTCCCTCCTCCTCCCCTACCCTTCCCTGGGCTCCCCACCTTGGGAGAGGAGCTTTCATTTGAGGAGAATTTTCCTTAGCTCGTGTTTCAGACAATGAATTTTTATTTTTACCAACCTCCTGCTTTGTCTGGGTTTGTGTTCTCTTTTAAGTCACAGAAGCATATTCATAAACACTGGCTCCTCCCTGTGTGTTTTTTCTTTTGTCCCCTCCCTGGGATTTCCCCTGGCTCTTTCCAAGCCTATCCCGAGTTCTTCAAATTCTGTGTGTGAAACCCCTCCCTGCAAGAGCTTGAGAGTGTTATTGCACCCAGAGTGGGCCTGGGCAACCCTAAACATGGGGTGGCCAGTCAATCCTCTTCTAAAGATCTTCCTTCTCACTCTCTGCAATTCCCTGACAGGAGGTTGGAGCCAGGCAGGCTCTGCCCCCAGGGAACAAGAGACAGGGCAAGAGGAACTGCCCTCAGGTTGTGTCAGGGAAGATTTAGGTTGAATATTGAGAAAAATGTCTTTACTGAAAGGGTGGTCAGACACTGGAAGGGGCTGCCCAGTGCAGGGGCAAAGTCCCCGTCCCTGGAGGGATTTAAAAGCCCTGTGGATGTGGCACTTGGGGATGTGGGTTAGTGGTGGATTTGGCAGTGCTGCAAGAACAGTTGGACCCAATGACTTTAGAAGTCATTTCCAACCTAAATGATACCATGATTCTATGAAATCTGAGTAACCTTCCACAGACTTGGTAATATGTATGGAAACAGAATTTTACCCAGCATCTTGTGTCCCAGTCCAGACTTCCCCAGCGGGACTGGTCCCCTCCCAGTTAAGCAAACTGCAATCCCTGTCTGTTTATGGTTGTATGCTGCATATTTATGGTTGAGAATCGTGTCCTCAAGAAACACAGACCCACCTAAGTGAGCTGCCCTGGCCTCCCTTGGGCTTCACAGAATCACAGAATAGTTTGGGCTGGAAGGGACCCTAAAGATCATCTTGTCCCAACCCCCTGCCATGGGCAGGGACACCTTCCACTAGAACCTTCCACAGGCAATGCTGAGCCATCAGTATGTCCAGATGTGTCTGTCCCTACCTTGGATCTGAACTGCGCTCCAAAAGTGTTTCTCCATCTCATGCATCTACCTGATGCAGCAGGTGACTAGTTTCCTAAAATTATTTCCTGAATTCCTTGAATCTGTGTGATAAGAATCCAGGTCTGAATACTCACTGTGATGGTGAATCTCAGATGAGTTAATTTGGAAATATCTGTGTCGCTCATCTGTGTAATTCCCCAAGCTTGGGTTGCACTCTCTGATTTATTTTAAATGATAGAAAATGGGGATTTTTGTACAAAGATCTCTTAATGCTCCACCTGCACAGCAAGACCTGGTAAGTGGGGAACACAGAGGGCCACCAGCCAAACTGGAGAAGGAACCTCCAAGAAACCCCTTTTCCAGCCTTTTTGCTCCAAGCTTCTATGAAAGCCTGTACATCCACATGTTG